ACTGTGCAATGGCTTCGAGGTGGTTTCCCAGTCACTTCTGTGTCCACAAGCGCAATTAATATTTACATGGCAGTGACGGACAACAGTCTGGTTGAAGGGGGAACTTAAGTTCCCCCAACTGGCCCATCCAGCCGCCCATGTGTCGAACCTACTTCTTGAGACAAAAAGGTAGCCCACTTTGATAAGCTGCGAAAGAGGGGTTTTCTGTGCACAGGCAAGGAAAAACATCCAGGGATTCTGTTGACAACTGGCCTCTCCAGCCTCTTAGGCAATTGTTAGTTCTGATACGCCTACTCTGACATCTTAAGACTCCATGTTGCGGTCAGTTCGGACAAATGAGCACTCTCCAACTACTCCGATTTCTATTCCTTGGTCGCTCCCGTGGCCAGCCTTCGGGTAGACTGTCCTGAGTGCGTCAGGCTGCGAACAAGACGCGACGTACGAATCCCAACACGGGCATTACAGGTTCCACTGCCGCCATTCCCAAAAGAACCACACTTCTGTGAAGATGTAGGTGGCAGGAGGTATAACTGAAAAGGGCAAGCAAGAGAAGGACGATCATTTCCAGTTTTTCATCAATCCTCAGTCAGCTACACCTTAACCAAGGCGGGCGCAGACCCGAGATTTGAGCCCAGATTCAGCTGTTCATCGATACAGATATTCTCAATGCAAGCAAAGGTTCACCACCGAGTGGTATTCGCAGAATCAGTTGAGGAAGCAACAACGTTATCAGAGCGTTTCTGACAACTTCTCATTCCCGTTTTCGGTTGAGTTGTATGCTTGGGTATTGACAACCTACCGGTCCTAACAACCAGCACGAAGGTCGTATAGAGGTAAACAAAATCCGACAAGAGCGGCGGACTGACAATGGTGTCTTGAATGATAGAGCATTGAGAGAATAGACGATGGCACAAGCAGGCAGCGCGGACATGCAATTCTGATAATCTTAAAGTGGAATTACTATTTGCTTCAGAGGAGTTGTCCTTTTTCCCCCAAATTGCGAAACTAGCAGTTACTCTTGGTGGCCGTTCACTCATCCTTCTCAGGGCCTAATTTCGTCTCCGACTGCGTGCTGAGACTGAGCCAATCAGAGGACTGGTCTCCGGACGAATGCAGTCCGTCGACCGTCGACCCAGTCAACGGACAAATCGATTTCCCGCCTGCCTGTCCGCGTCCCGAGAACAAATCAATATCGGTGGTGAAGGTCACTTCCAGCGAACTTGAGTTGCACGCCAAGTAAGCCGTATGTTTAACTTAGTCTTTACAATGGATACAAATGAAAATTTTGCCCATCAGTAGGTGCCCGGCTTGTGGACATCACGCGGTTATTTTGCTAATGGTGATGGATCGCAGCCCAAATGTTCACATAAACCTTCGGACTAGGTCTGCAAGTCCATCTCGAAGAACTTACTCCGAGTTCCAGCGCTAACTTCTGACGAAATTAAAAGGAGTATGCGTCCTTTGTCTGTGGTGGGGAAAGACTGAGCAAACCGTGGGCGCATGTTCACCTTTTCAGAATCCCGAACTTCCGCGTAGCCAAGAAAATAGTCTAGGTCCGACACACGGGAACAATCTGTATCAGCCGTTCGGTAGTCCCTTCTGCAGCCAAGCAGGCCCTCCGGATTCAGCTCAATGAACGAAAGAACAGACGCGAAGATAGGCGAGACCCAAACGTAGACGTTGAAAAACCAAG